TATCTACAGATTATCTTCCTCTTTTTTCATCATATTATAAAAATTTGGAATACTAGTCTTCCCAAGGGGTTACCCTCCTCCTGCAGCCTCCTCACTGCACCTTGCACTGTGGAATGTCCTATCAGCAAATCAATGACAGGCCTATTCTCTGTGTGCTTCCCTCTCCCGCTGTCTACCTTGCAATGTGGAATGTCCTAATCCTCAGAGAGACACAAAAAGTGCATATAAACACAGGAACACCTTTCCCCAATTTGCATAAAAAAATCTAACCCCCAACTGACATCAGTCAAATTTCGGAATTTTGTCTCGTTTGACAATAGCTGTTTTTATCAATAGTATAACCAGCTGTTGATGCTCCTTTATCTTGTTGAAGCCATTATTTGTTTTCAAAGCTTGTTTGAAATACTTCAGATTGTTGTCACGGTAAGACAAAGGGTAAAAGTAACAACCTCATGCCACTTCCCATGTAGTCTATCAGTTCAACTGCAGCTCTTTGGTTGATACAGACAGACCACCTGCTGCATGACAAAACGCCCCTATGCCACACTTTCACTGTCCTCTCACCATGACAGATACTGTAGTAAATCTCCTGGTGCATCACAGACATGAAACAACAACAACAAAAAAAAAACAAAACAAAAAGGAAATCAGGACAGACGCCAATCTTACAACCATCAGATACCAATCAGGGCCCGGCGACCTGCTGGCATCCTCTGGAGGACTGAGATGAGTGGCAACATGTTGCTTGTCCAGTAGCAGGCAGCCTGGCGGCTGTCACCCAGTACCCAGAGAGAGACATCCTGTTAGGGGTGGGACAAAGGTGGCTGGTCCTCAGGGATTACCCATTAGCATGCTAGTCTATGTGTTTAACACTGGCCTGAATGGAAAGGACAAGAGCCAGCACCCCAGTCTATTCTTAAGCAGGGAAGTGTTACTGTTTCAGCTGCTGATGTCGGTCTGACTTATGCATATATACGCATACATGCATATATATGAGTGGAATTTTTGTTTCTATCGGTATGCTGACTGACACACTATCTCTGCTATTTAAAGTGAAATTTGATGTAATAGAAGTCACATTGTAATAATTATAAACTTAAAGCATATTCAACCAGTTAGTTTCCTTAATTACTAACCATCTAAAGCTTAATGCAAAATGTCATCAGGCTTTTAAACTTGTATCTCATGAACATTTCTCATTTTCTCTTAACATTATTGTTGGCTGTTTCTTTTTTTTTAATTTTTAATTTTTATTTATGCAATGGTCCTTTTAATCCACTGATTTAATGGTAAAAATACATGTTGTCTGTTGTAACTGTTGTAAGTTGTTTGTAATAAAAACAAAATCAGCTTCATTATTGTCAATATGGCATAAAAGAATGGTTTGAACCTTACTGATAAACAGGACAAATACATGCACTAAATGTCAGACCTGATTCATGTTAATGTGTAAACAGAAATAAGACATGGAAGGTGAAACCAGGTGGCAGTCGAAATTATTGCTTACTTTTTTCATTCAGTGAAACAAGCCAGTTTCTGAATGGCGATTTAGACGGGGTGACCACAGTCCCTCTTCTTTTGTGCGTATGTGTTAGCCTAATGATGTGTAAAAACGCCTGTATGGAAATGTGTATTCGCAATTGTCATCAGTGATTATGTTTTTGTGTGTATGTATGGCTGTGATTGTGTGAAATGCTCCTCTTTCGTGCTGCTGTGTGTGTGATTATGTGCTCAGACTTGCTGGCTGGTAGCTGATAATAACACAAGGGGCTGTGTGTTTGTGGATTTCTTCGTTGAGGATATTCCCACCGTGCTCAGCGTGTCTGGGCTCTGTGTGTTTTTGGGGTTGCACGCGTGACTCCACCAGCTGTTCTATTCTCCTGTTGGCCCGCTCAACCCTACCCGGCCCTCGTCCCACACCGACCCCTCCTTCCCCTCAGAGGCCTGCTCTTCATCTGATAAGGGCCGCAGTGGCCAAGCCCTCAGCAGAGCTTCTCAGAGCCCTTCAGAGCTGCTCCACGCTAACAATGCACCCTCCTTCCTCTTCACGCTCACACCATTTACATGTGAAAACATTGGGTCTTATCTCCAGTTCACTGGAGCTACGGCACAACTGCCAAGTGAGTATGCGTGTTCGTATATGTGTGAGTGAAAATGGCTTTGAGAGAGAGCTGCAAGGGTAAAAGCGAAGTGAACAGTGAAACACTTGTTTGGCTAAATATGCCTACTTGAGCTTTATTTCTCTTCCTTTCTCCAGGAAAAAGTATTATGACAAACTACATGAGCAAATTAAATATACAGCAACCTCAAGAGACTCATTCAGCACTGTTTGAAAGAAAAATAAATTCCTCTTTTCTCAGTGTGATATTCACCTGTTCTGTACTGTATCTGATAGCTAACGGCTACGGTAATGCAAAATGAAAGAACCCCATGAGAGGAAGCTAGTCTTTCTGCTCTGTCACTTTGGAATATAGCCAGTGTATCTGTTAACAACAATCATCATCTACACGAACATTTAACACCACCAATCTGCCCACTACTGCCATGACAGCCAGCTTTTGCTGCTCTTCATCACTTATCATTTGTTTCATCTTTAGGGAAATAGGGAGAGCATCCGCTGATCCAGCAACAATATATATAAAAATTCCCTTCTGCCAGTTCACCAGCTGCCAGGCAGAAAGAGACAGACAGCAAAAGAGAAGCGCAAGGCTTTTAATTAAAGTCTGTGTAGTTAAGGGCTCGGGCTATGCAAACATGGGCCTCCAGCATCAGAGTTTAAGATGAGCTAAAGGAGTATGGTGTGATGAAAGAAAAGCTCCTAACACTGGATGAGAGGAAGGGTGAGGGGAGTGAAAACAAGAGATGTGTGAGGGTAGGAAGATAAAAGATGTGCGGCAAAAGACAGAGACTGATGAGTGTGATAGAAGATGGGATGGCTGCATGCTGTCAGAGCTGGTATCACATGTTATCTGATGTATAATGTGATGTGGACATTGGTGTGTGTGTGTGTGTGTGTGTGTGTGTGTGTGGGGGCAATCTGAAATGCCGGGTTTTGGGGGGGACATTACAATTAAAATAGGGGGTGACATGTGAGATAATATTCATTTATTCGTGGAGTCACTGAACTGGGTGTCATATGAGATGTAGACAGCTGGTATGAAGACAAGATATTTCTAAATATGAGCTGGAATGTATTTTTTTTAAACCAAAACGTATCAGTAGACACTCTGACAAAACCTAAATTTAACATCCAACACTGTAGCATAACAGAAATGTAGAATGTCACCTTTGGACTTTGGTGCAATGCTCTGACATGGTGCCATGGCGGCATCTATTGGTGGAAATGTAATACTGCAGCACTGTGTTCCACTGATACAATAATACCAATAATACCACAGTGCACAGACAAAAAAAAAAAAAGAAAAAGAAATACATATATCAGGAACACCTCTGAATATAGTGTAGTCTAGTACAACCACTTTTAACTATGACCTCAATAATAAACATATAATTGAATTAATACATTTATGACAATTCCACCAAAAACTGAAAGTTTCTGAGCTTCATATACACAGATGTTAAGGCAGAAGTGTTGCATTGAATTGCATACACTTGTACAGGTGTACCTAATAAAGTGGCCGGTGAGTGTATGTTAAAGGATAATCCACAGGTTCCTGACTGTTTGACACAAACAAAGTTGTATTTGCTTGAGTCTGTGGTCACACTGTCATGGTTCAGAAATTTATAAATAGTTAGCAGAGGTATCCCAAATAAACTTCTCACAAGGTTTCATTTAAATATCATGATTTAAAATATGTACACAGAATTATGCAACAGGACTTGAGTTTTTCTTTTTAATTATCTCATGAGAGATTTATCTTGTGACCCTTTGAGAGGGTCCCTTGTCCTTAGGTTGGGAATAAACAACCTACCTGCATAGAAAGTATCTACAGCCAGTTCCTACTGTAAAATGCTACTTGTGCATTTTGTCTTGGTCGCCTGATAGTTTTCACATTGATATGAAAATTCTTTTATTAGCCTATAAGGCGGGTGGCACAGTGGAGCAGTGGTTAGCGCTGTCACCTCACAGCAACTCGGGGTCTTTCTGTGCAGAATTTGCATGTCCTCCCAGTGCCTGTGTGGATTCTCTCTAGGTACTCCGGCTTCCTCCCACAGTCCAAAGACACAGCTTAGGTTGACTGGCGGCCCTAGTGAGTGTGTATGGTTGTTTGTCTACATGTCAGGCCTGTGATACACTGGTGACCTGTCCAGGGTGGACCCCGCCTCTCGCCCAGTGTCAGCTGGGATTGGCTCCAGCCCCTCTGTGACTCTATTCAGGAATAAGTGGTATAGATAATGGATGGACGGATGGATGGATGACTACTGACTGTCAGTATAGTATCAGGATAGATTGATAGTCTATCACTACGTGTTCTTGCACCACATGAGTTAACAAAAATAATTTATAAACCAAGACGGCCTCTTAAATCCTTTGGTTCCTCTTGATTTTTTTACCTGGTCCAAAAAGCAGAACAACTGACAAATCCAACTGACTTGAGTTCATTTTATAGTCTTACTATATTTATGGCTTTATATATATTTTTTCTACTTTTAATTAAATTTTAGGTGTGCATTAATCTCCCAGTACATTTTATGCTTTGTGCTGTAAAGCACTTTGAATTGAATCTAATTTAATATACGTATTATATAAATAAAGTTTGATGGATTGATGAGCATTAACAATTTAATAATCAGAATCAGAGTTGTCATACAGTATATGCCACATAAAATATATGCAATATTCAGCAGAATGGACACTTGTGTTGCATACATTTTGTTAATACTTGTTTATTTCTAGATGCAATTACTCTATCGATTAAAGGATCTGAATGCTATTAACTGTTTCATTCTGGCTACAACAGCATTCAGTCAGATGGCATTATTGATACTAAATCTGTATTGGTTTGGGATCTGGGATCTGAGGCTCGTCTGTCTGGGGCACAGGCTGGGCGTTCAGCTCCAGATTTCGCAATAAACATATTATGTCAGTATATTCAGCAGCTGAGAAAATGAAACATTATCTTTCTAGGAAGACACATACACAGAGAATAAGATCGGAGTCAGAATTTTATATTACTTTCAATGTACAGAATATAAGGGATAACGTGATCATGACAGGCGTCATGAGAACAAATGCAGTTTGATCCTACATGTCTTAATACAAACCCAACTAATAAACAACAGAACAGACAGACTGGCATTAAGTTTGTCCTGAGAATCCCCCCCCCCAGTTTTATAGCAAATAACATTAATTCCACCTGACTCAACAAACCGCAAATTGTAATGTAATAAAGGTATAACCAGTTGTGACAGGTTTATTCCTTTGGAGGGTATTATCCTTGCAGAAAGGGTTAAAAAAAAAAATCTTTGGTTTGATTCATTTTCATGTGCCTGCGTTATCACTCCTGGCTAAAGAACAGAAGTAAAACTACATGTCATTGATACACATTGAACTCCCACCTTAAACTCTGACTAGTTTTCTACTTTTAAATATAATTCTTTACTTTCCTTTGTACAAACCACTTTGAGTGGCTTGCACATAGAAATGAACAAAGACAACAGTACACTTAGTACACACAGACCCTTCAGACATGAAAGTCATCATTTTCCAACACTGGTGGTGATTTTCCTGAATGACAGACAAATGTATATACATTAAAATATCACGTAGAACTTTACCAATCTAACACAAGATGCTGATAAACATATGCTGTTTGCTCATGCACATACTGTATGTTCTCATGTACGCTTATTAATCTCAAAGCTTTTGGAGGCTTGAATCATTTGAGCAAACAACCATGTCGCATACGCATTGTTCCAGAATAAGGCCTCAGCAAAATCCTTTGTATTAGCTTTTTGTCTTTACATTAAAACATTATTGGTCTTCAGACAGAAATGCAATAAAAAGCTACTGTATCTATGCCAACAGAGGTGGTTCTTCTCCTCAGAGGAATGATTTATGTGACTGCATAATGGGATATATTTCAAATTTCTGCCTAGCTTTATTTAAAAACCTCAATGGTCCTATTCACATTTTTATCTAGAATTTAACTAAGAGAAATACTGTGAAAAAAGCATAAAAACCTCCATTAATCATTTAGAAATTTCTCGTTTTACCACTAAAAGGCCACAAAATGTCGACTTTTGCTGCCATATAATCTTACATAACATTACCGCTGTGCTGTCTTCAACTTGAAATACTCTCAAAATTGTATTGACATCAGTATGAATAAAGCAACAACCTGATATCCCTGAAATTCTCTAAGTCACCAAATGTAGCAGTAATTCCCAACAGACTCTATTCAATCTAGTATTTTGGTATTTTACAATTTCAACACAATAAAAGTCTCTAAACTAAGTCTTACAAACCTCAATATGAAGAATACTGTAGATGCAAAATGAAAATTGCAGTGAGGAGTATTATAAAATGCTGCTTTACTTTGACTCGGTTCTGCAGGTGCTGCCAACGTTGTGTTGCACATGCAGTAGAAGAATAACACCGCTTTCTTAATTACACTCTATCACAATGACCATTTCCTGTGCTGCCACTTTTTTGCAATCATGTCTTTGAAGACAGAGTTTGTAGTCACTGCTAGACATTACACAGTTTTTCTTCAAGGGAAGCACAAACTGATGACAAATGACTGAAGATCTTAACCAATTAAGGCGTAGTGCAACCACGACTCCAGCAGGGGGGGCTAGCATACAATGTCTAGCAAGTACGGTAGAGCAGGTTTCAGTCCAGTGCTTCAGTGAGATAACGTGCAGGCACCACGTTTCGGCCATGTTCAGTCTCACAGTCCGTGTGGGCTGATTGTGGACTGTCCTGATGTTATGCAGCCCTGCAGCCGGGTCCTTCAGTCTCTTAGGTCTCACTATTACCGGTCTTTAAGAGAGCCACTACAGCTGGTCTGACCCTCCTCTGGAGTTTGAACCCAGCAGTATACCTGAGGCCAGAGCTCTGGGTGTGGAGGGTGCAGTGGTATGTGCTGTTGTCTGATTCAGAGCGTCTTGTGAAGCCTCGTATTGAGGCAGCTCACCCTCTGACGGAAGCACCCCATCCGGGAGGTATGGAGGAGGAGGGAGGTCAAACCAAGGGGGCCGACTAGAGACAAACATGAGAAACAGACAGAATTAAAATAAGATTCCAGGCATTACTAAATCAATTTGACCAACAGCCAGCAAAGATTCAGGATGTACACCCCTGTGCTGAACAAATAATGTGGCTACAGTATGTAAGAGCCTGACACAATTTAAGGAAACATAGCACAGTATAATCCTCTTTTTTGCTAATTTGATTTACGTTATGCTTGAACAATACTTTTTAATTTATGGATTTTAACCGCTTGACTTATTTTCCATCATTTTAGGATTTTGTGTGTCCACTTATTTTGTAAGAAAAAAGTATGCAGATTGTTATCACAAAATTATTCATTGTGAAGCTTTTAAAACAAGGTGAAGCAAAATGTATTTATCTGTCTATATTTCAATTTATTTATTTATTTCAAGCAATTTAAGCTTTGAATAAATTCCACTCCTGTTAAATTATAATTTTCCAACAAATGGGTTAACAAGTAAACTAAACAAAGTTAAAGCTTTATTACGCTGTATTAAATATACTAAATGACACTATATTTTGCTAGAAGGGCAACTTTCACCACCTCTTTTTCTGCTGGTTTTTGGTACACAAAATCTAGCTTTAATAGATGAAAGACTTTCATACAGCATTACGGCTTTCACCTGACATCCAAGACAGCTTGTGAGTATGATGGAGGTGAGTCCATGGAGAGTCCTGAGGGATAGGGGGTCCCAGACAGCAGTTGTAATGCCTGAGGAGTTGAGCTGTACTGGCCTGCTGCAGTGGGAGAACTGGGTGTTAGACCTGGACCTCTGGTATGGACGTGGCCCCGGTCCAAGATGACCAGATGTGAGAGCAGCAGGGGCTGGTGGTGGTGGTGGGGATGCGAGCTCCCTCTTACGCCTCTGGGCAGTAGGACACTCCGCTTTCTCTGGTGATGGAGCACCAAGGCCAGCAGCGCCACCACCAGGACAAAGATGACAGCGCTGCCGATGACAGCGTAGGTGATGCTGGGATAGTAGCGCAGACGATAATCCAGGGTCATTAAATCTTGGCCAGGAGCTTGTGCAGGAAGGAGAATAGCACACAGAATGGATGATGTAGGGTGATGGGGAAAAGGGAGGATGCATTGTGGCAAGGGACCCACAGAGGGTCACAGAGGATGAAAGAATGAGGAAACAATTTAATGGAGCATGAGGCTGAGAAAACATAAGGAAAGTGTGGAGATGGCGAGCCAGGGGAATGGAGAACATCAAGCAGTAAATTTTGAAACGTGTTTAGGGTAATTTGATACAGGCAGCCTCTCTTGGAGATGAGAGCGCTACATAATAAGCACAGCAGCAGCCAGACTCTCCCCACAGAAATTCCAGATATGAGGAGAACAACTGGAACACAATGTACAGTGCAGATGCTACCTATGAATGCCCATCTCAAACGGAGGGACCACGCTCCTTATTATGAAGTAAAAGAAAATAGAGGAGGTAAATAACTGTGTGAGGGCAAAACAGTTGATGAGTGAGCTGATTAGTGTCACAGATGAGGCAGAGGAGCACCAGGGCCTGTCGGATTACCATGCTTGTTGCACGGAGACGGGGAGTCTGCAAATGACTTAGGAGGCCAGGGAACTTAACGTTCATGATGAGAGCTGCGGCCAGCGGTAAGAAATGCAGAGTAGCTGAGCCACTGCTTGAAATGAGGAAAGGGACTACTGTAATGCCAAAGCACAGCAGCTTATTATTCTACATGGAACAAGGGAACAGCACTTAAACGTCTCCACTGACTGATACTGGAGCAAGAATTTCAATCACGAACTCAGGGTGAGGCTCATGTAAATGGTGTTTAGCGGCTCTGTGGCAGAAATTACTGTTGTACTAAAGTGAAAAAAAAATCATCTTATTTATTATGGAGCTGCAGAAAGGCTGTGCTAAAGAGGAATGAGCTACTTAAAAGTATTTTTAGAGTTCAAAACACTTAGTGGGGTACTTTGTTCTGTGTTCGGGGATTTTTGTGTTGCTGCTTAAAGGACTCACATCCACATCCACTGGACATCATGCACACAGCTGAGGATACTGCACAGAAAACCTCCAAGGAAGCCATTATGACATATCCTGAGGTTAAATCAACAGTCCCAAAATGTGTGTTGTGGAGCTTTTTCTTTTTCAGGTTTGTACTGATTTACAGGCTCTCGGGTGATTTTGTGCTTAGTCTTCTCACCTGTGAGGTAAAGGTGTGATCCACATTGCCAAATAAAATGAAAGGACTCCAACTACAGAATGTAGTAGACAGTTTATATCATGCAGTGGTAGAAGTCATAATATTTACTGTATATAAAGTCTTCTTTATATAGGATTTTAGTATTTTTATAAAAGAAAAGAAACAGTGTGGCACATAACCCCTTTGACACTTTAAAGGATAAGTCCGGTCATGTCCTATATTAACTATATTTTAAACACTCCCCATACAGAAACTAAAGCCAACTATGATTTGCCTTTACTCACAATTAATGACTGTCAATCTGTCAGAACTTAATTAGCTTATTCGTCTGTGCCATAAACACAGCAGGGAGCCACACCGCAGCACCGGTTGACATGTTTCCTCAATACAAAACACCAGACCCTGATATTTTTTAAAAATGCTGCCCCACAGGCTCCGAACAGCCACAACGTTTTACAGCATCTGAAGTAAGATTCAAAGGCCCATGCACAAGATTTCTGGATATTCTTAACAAATATCAGGGTGTTGCGTTTTGTAATATGGGAATATGCCACCCAGTGCAACGGTGTGTTTCCCTGATGTGTTTTTAAACATCAGTAGAGGTCTGTGGCACAGATGAATACACTAATCTAGGACAGACAGACAGACAGACAGACAGATATTAATCATGTGTTGAGGCAAATTACTGTTTAAAATACTGTTAATACAGAAAATTGTTGGCCTTATCCTTTAACACTTTAACAGTGGGTCATGTTTATGCTTTGGTTTTTGTGTAGATTGTTCAAATCACTCCCAACGTGTACATTCATGAGCTTTCGTCACCTGTAGGTGGCTTTGGGTACTTTCAGATAGAAGGTAGCTATCTCCTCATTTCTAGTCTTTATGCTAGAGTTGCTGGCTCCACCTTCACATTAACTGGACGGACATAAGAGTAGTATCAATCTACTTTTCTAATGCTCGGCAAGAAAGTAAGAAAACGTATCTTCAAAAAAATGTCAAACTATTCCATTAGCATAAAGGTGCTATGGCTCACTACGTCTGTGTGTGTGTGTGTGTGTGTGTTTCTCTCTTTCTTCTAGACACCATGTTGCATGTTTCCTCTGCCTACCTGACCTTGAATGCCTGGGGGAGTTTTCAGAACTGCGTGTGTATGTGCACCCACACACTGTTGAGTTCCCAACAACAACGACCCTGGCAGAGAGCCTATTTATGTACCAGTGTTTAGTCAGGGGCCCCATTCCTAAATTAAATCTAATCTAATTCAGATGCTCCACCTGCCCTAACCAGGCACCAGCCAATAAAACAAGCCCCCTTGACACCTCCCTTGTGATTTAAAATCGGCCAGTCCTTCACGCTACCAATTAATTATGAACCGGACACTCGGTAGAGAAAGGCCAAAACAAAGAAGAATTATTTCCATAATTACCTATTTAAAACGCTCATATAAAGAGATCCCACTGCTGCTATCCTATCAGTTTTCAGTGCAGCCTTGTGGGAGCAGAGAGGAACACACACACAAAGGGAACTCATAATGCTGTAACATTAACAATGGGAGCCTACTTGGTACATAAGGCCTGAAAGGCTGTTTCAAATCACACAGGAGATGAAAAGACAGGGAGGGGGGGAAAAGAGAAAGCAGCAGGCTCCATTTCAGTCAGAGGAGAGAGGTCTTGTGTGTCTGCCCCCCACCCCTCCCCTCAACTATACGGGTGAAGAAGCTCTGCATTTCAGTCCATTTTGCATTGTTAGTTGTAGTTGCAGCAGAAAGAAAGATGGGATCATTACATGCAAAGATACAGTAGGTGACAAGGTCTCCCAATAACACTGGTTAGTTCTGATGCAAAAGAAAAGACTCCTAATCATACACCAGTGCCTTATGGACACATACAGGCTTGATGCTCTTTGATAGCAGCACTCAGGTTCTTACTTTGTCTTTCTCTCTGCAAATCCTGGTGTTAGTCTTTACCTGTAAATTTAATCTCTGTGAATAACAGATTCACACATCAAAGTCCTGGATGGCTGAGCCGAACCAGATGTTGCATTTAAGGTATGTCACAGCCACAGCCTCACGGCTATGATATTACCAATTCTGCAGACAAGATAAAAGCCAATAATATGACATTCAGCTGTCATACAAGTCTATCTGGCCACACTACATGACTCAAACATGCCTGGTCCTACTAGCCTCTCCGACGGTGTTACTTTGTACTGAATCCAGTTGATGGAAGCGTCATGATCAAAGCTGAACATCAAAGTTCACTAGAGGCTTCCCTGTTATATTAAACTTGCCATGAAAGGATCAAATACATTCATGCTGTCGACCAACAGCTAAGTTGCTTTGACAGTCAGGAGTGGTAGAGTTAAAAGTTAAGGAAGCTTCCCTTTTTAGCTCATTCAATTTCATACAAGTCTGTGATTTGCTCAGTATTACTGAACTGAGAGTTTACTATGAATATAAGGACCAGCTGTGTTACAGACAATAGCTTTGGTTGGGAGTCCAACATACATAGGTTAAATAATATTCAGAAATAATGTCAGCTCACAAAAAAGATACATACAAAGTAGGTTTTTCAAATTTTGCGTCCTGTCTGAGTTCAATTCACTGTAGGTGAGGAAGATTTTAGTCATATTAATGACCATTCCACATGGAGGTTCAGGGGAACAGTAGCTCACCATCAAAGGAAGAAGGCTGAGCGCAAACCCAGGTGGAAAGAAACGTGGAGAACAAGACATCTGACTTCATGTCTGACTGATTCTGAATTGCCTTGCTGCCAGCAGATGAGGAGGAAGTGCAGACAGATATTTGTAGGTTGGCGGTCATTTGTATCTTACTGGAAAATAAAACCAATGACTATTTTTGTAATATTATGGTTGTTTTTAGTCAGGGGATCACTTGTTAGCAAGTAAGCAGAGAGGTCTAAACAGTAGAGTAATGGGTAAATGGTACAAAGAGACATTACACCGTTCAAACTGTTAGCTATAAATAAATGGCTGAAATCGTTCATAGGATGAATGTGGAGACACCACATGTGTAGCTTTCTGTTGTATACTCTGCCTTCTTTTAGGAAATGAGCAAAATGACTGAAAAGCTGAGTCTAATCCAGTAATACACTCACTACATGTTCATTATTATGTAACCTACAAACATTGACAATCTATTAATTTTGTTTAGAATGCATTGTGCAGGTGGATTAGTGGTTAAGATTAAAGCAAAGGGGAATTACCAGGGAATTTCACAGTATCTTCAGGGGGAAACATTACCTCACCTGAGAAACATTTGGTTTTAGTCATATAAACCGCCATTTTAATTACATGAGAGTGCCCCCTCCCCTCTTGTCTCAGCTCCCACACTCCTCTGATGCCTCCCTCTCGTCTCCCCCTCAGGTTTGTGCTTTATAAAGCTCTTCCCTCTTCTCTCCAACCTCTGCTCTCCCTCTTGTTGGTAATTTACTCTCATGGAGATGACATGTACCTCGGCAACAGCTGCACTCAGTCTGGATTATCCCAACCTGTTCCCTCTTTTGCTGCCTACTCTCCAATAGTCTACCACTCTTTTTTGCATTTCATTATCTCCAGTCTGCATCAATCTCATTACTACATGAGAGGAGAGAACTATAGGGACATAGAAATGTCACCAAGAGCACAACAGTGGTTGTTCAGAGGACCTGAACAAGGACAGAAGTACAGAAAGGTGTGATATGTCCAAAGAGAAAGGCAGCAGAGATAAACATATAGTCTTTTGAAGTACTATGTGCACACATCTCATCTCCCCTACAACAGACTTAAAAGACTTTTCACTGAACACTTGCTGCTCCAAACAAGCCTTAAATCCATTACAAGAGGCAGAG